TATTTCTATTGTGCATAAAAAATACCATTCGTTAACCACACTGTAGATACGGTAGTCCCTTTCTCATACTTCCTGTATCAATGAACTCCGCTACCATTGAAGAAAACTATGTAGATGCCGAAATCTTCACCGACCTTCAGTCTATTCCACTTAAGCGCCCCACTTAAAAGAATTCCGTTCTTCAATTAGAAGACCTACTTCGGAAAACTAATGTAGATCGCCGTTGAAACAAATACAAACAGGTGAATGATGCTACGCAAATTAGATATCTGTATAGCGGTATATTTATTGTTGATTTAACTGAGCGTATTCGGCCTACTTGGGTAAGAAGATGAGCTCATTAACAGAGATCTCAGACGTACCATCGATTTAAATTAAAACAATTGGATGCGCTCTAATAGCAGAAGTTTGAGTTTTGATGCGTATGAGAGCAGTTAGTGTTGATAAAAATTGCCCAGATTACTTCCAAATTTAGGACTGAATTGCAAATCAATGAAAATGCTCACAAAATTCTGTGATGTGAAAGGACATATTATATAAGATTGTTTGGAAAGTTTTGTCCATTTCAATGTCATTTGTTTTTCTAGCTTTATATCTCAATAAATATTTATGGTGTCGTGTGTCTAGTGTGTCGATAAAGAATTTTTATGATGTTCATTTTTCTCATCTTTTGATTATTATTTGATATCGTTAAGCGATTTTAGTCTAATTTTTCTCAACCAATTCTAATTGAGCCAAAGGGCTGCCGAAACAGTACGAAAAATAAACCAGGCATTTGGCAATGGTAGTGTTAATGATCGCACTGTTTGACATTTGTTTGCGAAATTTCGTTCCTGAGATGTTAGCCTGAAAGATAAGCTTGATCTAGACTCTAAATTCTAGACTGACCCATCACAAACGGTGCATCGGATGGCGGAAGAACTGGGTGTCAGAACTTCTCGAAAAGTGAGTGTCCCTTGATTCGAGTGATCAACAGAAATTATCACGTTTAGAAGTCTGTTGTTCTTTGCTTTTGCGCAACCAAAACGGTACTTTTTTAGATCGGATCGCCACGTTTGATTAAAAGTTGATTCTCTGCGACAACAAGAGACGTTCAAGGCTGTGGTTGTACACTAATAAGCCTCACCCAAGCACTTCTCAAATCAAAAAACCACCAAAAAAGACCATGTTTGCTGTGTAGTGGTCAGCGACTGGTGTGATACACTATAACTTTCTGCAACCGGGCCAAACTATCACAGAAGAGTGATGAAATCGACGAAATGTACCAAAAGTTGCATCAGCAGCAGCCATCACTGGTCAAAACAAGAGGTCTGATCCTGCTCCACAACCACGCCCGTTCAAACGACTTGAGTGTCGAAGCTCTGCCTCATCCACCCTACTCACCAGACCTCTAGCCTCTTCTCAAACACGTCGATAACTTATTCACCAGCAGAACCGTTGCCAATCAGGACCAAGCAAAAACGGCCATCGTCGACTTTATTGAATCACGATCACACTATTTTAATGCTGATGGAATTAATCAACTCGTTTTACGTTACAGACGTGCAATAATTCAAATAGTGCTCATCTCAATATAATTGAATATAAGTACTCACTGAAATATTTTAGCTTGTAGTAGACTCATAAAAAAGGGGACAAAACTTCTAAAACAATCATCTAATGACACTGAACAGTTCCAGATATCAACTAGTGTCTCATTTGAGTCATGAAAACAAAGAACTATCTAGGTTGAAACAGGTTTATTTGGACAATTATCAAAAAAGACATATAAAAACCTAGTATTTCGATGAGAGGGTGCACAAAATTAAAATAAAATTTGCCAAATGATGAACTTTTGAGTTGAAACCGATAAGATTATTAAATCTTTCATTCCCTCTCAATTTCTGTGTCATAATCTGTGTATCTAACAAAATAACGATAACGTTTGTGAGGTCCTTAAATGAATATCAATCATTTTGCGAGCCAAATATGAAGTTCACCCCTGATTATCCAATGATATGGGAAGTTTTGATTTGAAAAGTCTCTCAAAATCACTTTGTTGGAGGTGTAAGGCCTTACTTGCATTATCGAGCGAAATGGGTAAAATATTTTTCAAGAAGTACAAATTCATTTCACGAATAGGGGAATAGTGAACAATATATTGAGTCAGAATTTTCCAAACCATTGAATAGGCAGGTTTGGACCTCATCAGTGGCCTACAAGATCACCCAACTTTAACCCAATCGACTATTATGTTTTGATTTTTTAAATTTACATAATATGACTACATGGTTCTAGTGTGGAACTTTCTATTTCATAAATATCACTGGATTTCAATAAATCAATTTCAAAAAACTTAATATTTATCTGAAACCCAATTGCAACGATTCGCAATTTAGTAATCTAACATTAAAGTCTACATTTATCAAGGATTTCAATTGGAAATGTCTGTCAATTTGAGAATGATGCTTTATAACATATTTTTTCAGTTATTTACATTTTCTAGCAAATTTTTCTAGAGCGACATTTTTCATTTTTCACCATCTGAAACTGGATGGTCAAATAAAGAAATATCAATGTTGAATTTGAAAAAATACCTTTTAAACACGTGGTAAGGTATTTTAGAGTGTGAATGAAGTATTAGATTCAACATATTGAATATTGAATGTTTCAAATTGAATAAAAATTCACAACACAAAGAGATAACTTCACACTGGATATCGCAAAAACAAATGATTTTTGTAGAAGAGATAAATCAAAAACGAAAAAACCAGTTCTCCAAAATTTTTGTGAATTTGTTATGTGGAAACATGGTTTATGAAGAAGATCTGCATATTACCAAAAACATTTAATTTTTTCAATGAAAAATTCATACTCCATTTTCTCAAACAGCGGAGTACTAAATCATTTCCAGGTAGCTGTTCCATAGGCGTACATAATTGAGTTGGTTAACAAGTGAAACATCTAGTATTTACTTCAAACATTCAATGTTGTATGATTTGATGAATCAGTCCCAGATAATATTCCTACGGCTTTTTTTTGTAACATAAATATCATATTTGCATGAATACTATTCCCCCAGAGAATTATCCCACATGAGATATGAGAATGGAAAAAAGCGTAGTAAGCTGTTCAATTTCCGAAGAAGAAAGATGTATTTCGACAGTCCAAAGTATCATACAGATGTATGCCTTAGAGTTTAACACAGTGTTGAGTTTTATTTTCCTTAAAAATTAGATAATTTCTTCTCTAAACCATTTGAATTTGATTTATATCGCGCACCAAATTACTCTCGATTTTTCAGATGTCGTAAGAGTACTATCATCTGCGAAGGCAAGACAATTGTGAGGTGACATATAGGAAAATACATATACATATGTATATATAAGTATATATGTTATCAATAAAAGAGGGCTCAGAACCGAGCTCTGGGGTATTCCACATGTAACTGGTTCTGAGTCGGACACATTGTTCGAAGCAAGTGTCACATATTGGTATCCGTTTATTAGATATGAAGAAAAAAGAGACAGGGGGTTCCTCTTATGCCATAGTCATCTAATTTTTTCAGTTAAACAGAATGGAAGACGTAATCAATTGCTTTTGTTAGATCACATAGAGCAGCAATAGTGTGCTCTCCTTTTTCAAAGCAAGTTGTAATGTTTTCGATTACTTTCTTTACCACACTGATTATTTCGCCACAAAAAAAAACAGGCAAGGAATTTCTGACAAAAATATAACAATCTGCACTGATAATAGACAAGCCCTATTAGCCTTGAACAGACCACGTGTTACCACTGTGCTAATACTAGAGTGCCACCAATATTTAGCCAAAGCCTCGGTAGATAATAGCATCATCCTGAGATGGGTTAAAGGGCACGACAGGAGTAAAGGTAATAGCATTGCCGACTCTTCAGCCAAGGAAGCGCCTGGACTAAGAATTTTAGGACCCAGTGACATCTACGGTCTGATGACTTCGACAACTGCGGAACTAACCAAACGTCACACCCATACCCAATCCCTAAAGAGTTGGGATGGAATCAAAGGATGCAGTCTCGCCAGGATCTAACTGGGCGAACCTGGAAAGCTGTCGCCGAAGAAATATCAGGCGATGACCAGGCAGAACCTACGCTCAACAGTAGGATTTCTGACTGGCCTCTGTCAACTAAGCAAACACCTCCATATTATGGGGCTAGTAGACACATCTCTATGCAGGATTTGTGAACAGGAAGATGAAACTGTCAGGCATGTCTTATGTGAGTGTCCGGAGTTATCGTCAATAAGAGAGTGCCTGTTCGGCGAGGCTTGGCCTACATCTGCTGTCCACTTTCCTGGAAGGGACGGACAGATTGGACGATGACCTACGAGGACAACTCCTCGGGAGGATGTACAATGGGTGACATGTGGTCTAAGTGCTATGAGCCTACACTCACCCTCCCTACTCTACAGATACAGATACAAATATCACACTGATTATGAAAGATGATTTTCTAAATCCGAATTGATTTGTGTTGAATAGCTTGTACTTATGTAAATACTCAAAAAGCCTATTTGTCAGGATGATTTCAATTAGTTTGCCGAAAATTGGGACGATCGATATTGGCCGGTAATTTTCAATTGCATCATCACTGCCTTTCTTAATGAGTGGGACAACTCGTCAATTTGAACCCACACACCTTCTAAGTGGTTAAATTAGACATGACGCCGTTTTTTTATTATTCCACAAGTTCGTACGCATCGAACGAGTTTGAGATTTTCAGATCAGATATTGCACCGGCAACCTCAATGTTCAAATTGGATTCCATGAAAAGGAATCCTGATGTAATGACCATTATTTACTCTCAGTGGAAGTCGTGAAAAACCATTTTCCACACCTGAAATGCACTCATTCCATCCCTGTTTGCTGTTAATAATTCTTTCATCTTCAAAAGTTATTTTTATTTGGCCTAAATACCTAAAATGTGACAGTACAAAATTCTTCGACCGCTTTTCTTTGAATGACGCATTACTTTTCATTGTTTCAGGATGTACAGAGAAGCTGTAGGATGGGCATTCACCGCCCTGTTAGTCAGCAGCTCGATAGTGAGCACTTTCTCGTACCCCAACTCCCCAGTATACAAGCCTTCTCCTTTGCCCGAATCGAATTCTTATCCCCAAGTAGCGTCCCCCCACCTGAGAAGCCAGCAGCAGAGGACTGATAGGAAATTCGCAGAAAAACCGAACTCGATTAAGAAAGTTGCTCTCGATGACTTGGATGACATACAAACGAACCAGATATCCGAGAGCAGTGGCGGCGGATTTTCTTGGTCTAATTTATTAGGTGAGAAATAATTTTTTTGATTCCGAAGACGGAAGCAGATTTTAGCCTCCGAAACGTTGAAATAAGTATCTGTATGATTTGTTCTCTTCATTTGATAGGCAAAGTTATTGAAGGCGGCAAACTACTTGTGAAACATACTTTGAATTTACGAATACTAATAGTTCATCGTCAGTTTCACCACAAAAGGTTTACAAAACCACGACGTATTTCGCTATACGATAGCTGCCATAAGCAGGACTGATGAAGTTACTTCTGAATTGTAACATTTTATACTTATGATGCACTGTTTGGAACCTTTGGTGTAGTAATGAATATTACTGGAGTTTTTTCCCAACACCAAATCGTTATTTTTAACGATTTGGCCACACGTGTTTCGATCACCAAGTGATCATCTTCAAAGAGGAAGTTTAATCTATAAGTTTAAGTTTAAGTTTTAATCTTCCTCTTTGAAGATGTTCACTTGGTGATCGAAACACGTGTCGAGGTGTTAAAAATTACGATTTGGTGTTAGGAAAAAACTCCAGTAATATACATTTTATACTGTAGAAACATCAGACAGAGCCCAATCAGATACTTCATTGTATGCTAGATTCATCTACCTGTAAAGAGCGGATATATTACGTTTTTATTTTATTTATTCAACTACGTGCCAATTTTCAATAAGCATAGTATAAGGGGAAAAACATACAACTGAAAAATGAACTGGAATACCAAAAATTCATAAATATATCGATTAGGTTTCAATAATAATCGGCAATGTCTTCATAGTAGATAAGGTAATAATGTGTTTCACCATAACTGTACTAAATTTCCATAATATCAGGCACTACATTCTCAGAAATAATATCGCATTGAAACGGAAATACTGTTGTCAGGTTGTGATTATATATATTTTATCATATAATTATGTTAGTATAATTAGTATTTTTCGTACGCCACTGCAACAGACAGATTAAGAAAAAAATGTCAAATTTCTGAGAATGTAGTGCCTAGTATTTTGGTATCACATTATAGCAGGACCGGATGTGGAAGTCTGAAGGCCCTGGGCAACGAAGAAGTGGAGGCCCCTTGATTTTTTTTAAATAGTTAAATCTTTAATTTCCCGCTAAGAAATTTAAAAATATTTAAAAAAGGGAAAGCGGGCAAAAATCGACGCGTTCAATAAATAATGTCGTTAAAAAATGTTAGTTCAAGTGATTTCGTCAAATAAAATTTTGAACTCGAAGAAGCGAGAAGTTGTGGAAATGACCTGCCGGGTCAACCGTTTTTTTTTTCACTTATTTTATTTCTCTTCAACTCCTATGTATAAATTACACATTAAAAATAGAATTACCACTGAAATGCAATCAGGTCTTTCAGATATATCGATAACAATATTATGTTTAACTTGTAGTAAAAGTCCATTATATCTCAAAGTAGAGTGCAGTAGATTTGCGAAGTATAAAAACTCAAAGTCGTCTCCACAAATAATTAACTGATGATGAACCTATATAGGTTCGAAACATGTACTGACTGATGGTTTCAACATTCTAACATCTGAGGGTGATAATAAATTATGGAGACGACTTTGGAGTTTTAATGCTTCGCAAATATTTTGTTTGTGCAAGTATTCTCAGTAAAAATGCAAAAAAAATGTTTGAGAGGAAAACCGTAAAAGTTGCTGACCCGTCAAAATTTGAACATTTTCTCAACTTAATGTGGGGGCCCCTCTCATGTGGGGGCCCCTCTCATGTGGAGGCCCCGGGGCAGTAGCCCCGCCTACCCTTTCCTTAATCCGGACCTGATGGCGAAGAACCTTGAATTCTCCTTCTGTAGAGGATTATACACAACACAAAGTGTAATTTCAAGATATTAAATCGGATAAAGTCTGATAGAAGTATAATGCAAAACACAAGTGAAATCACACTCAGGTCTCTGGTAATCTTATTACACACTGTATGGCTCGTGGAAAGTCATCCTCGTTTCGTTCAGGCTTGGAATCCAGCTCCCCTACCTTTTCGGCTGGTTATTGGTCTCGAGAAGGACCAATGGGTTCATGACTGATGGTATGACGGCATGAAGTCCTCAGACATCAGTGCCGCCCTTCACGGGATACCCCTACCTGGCTGGGGTGGGATGGATGAGAAAGTTGTTCATCCATTAACGGGGGACATGAGGGCCTCATTCGACAGAGTGTCGGGGCTTTCTATATCGGGAGGGGTCGTCTACAGCATAACCTGTGGCTTCCCTAACTAACGGATTTTCATGAGTTTCCGTACTTTCAAAAACTCTCTGATTCCTCGACTGAATGGACTGCCGAATGGAACGCAGCTGCAAATCTCTGCGGATGGCTTCGTTCCGAACGAACCAAGGAGCATTCACAATCATCCTAATTAGCTTATTTTGTAACCTTTCCAGAATGGAAATGTTGGACGGAGCCGCCTGACGCCTGAAGCATACATGATGACAGGCTTGAACATCGTGTTATAGATGGTGATTTTATTCTTCGTACTTAGTTTGGATTTTCTATTCATCAGAGGGTACAGACTAGCTATCCGACCCTCGATCTTAGACTTAACGCACATGATGTGCGGGTTCCAAGTGAGCCTACGGTCTATTAGAACGCCGAGGTACTTTACCCGCGCTTGCCATTCAATTTCCCTTCCAGAAATTCTCACTTTTCTTGCCGGAGAAGATAGTAATCTTCCCATGGTTATCGTCTGAACTGTATGGCTCGATTTCCTTGCGATCGCGATATGATTTAGGTAAAGCTTTTTGTAACACTTGTATATTCAATACCGGTCAGATCTGCGTCTACCATAGATCTCATCAATGATACTAGACTGGATTACGAATGTTACGCTTGGGATGCCTTCACAAAGTCAATCCTGAATAGAAACTAACGACTTCCTCTATAAACCATTCACGGAATTAACAGAATGCCTCAGAGACATCTTTTTCTCAACTGACAGTGTGTGGCCATCACCAGATGAACCGAATTTAATTTAATATTGATCCCACAGATTATCTAAAACAAAACATTACAAAATTCCAGAACACTTGAATATTATGATTTGTGATTTATTCCATTTTAAACACATTTGTTTTTGATAGAATACATAAAATGATTATACTTACTGCTTTGCAGGAATGGTCATGCAAATGATATTCAACCCAGGTGGCCAACAAGGACCCAATAAATCCGAAGACCTCGACAATGGCCCTATTCCATCATCCCCCTGGGCCAACCTCTTATCTGTGGGTCTCAAGATCCTCACAGCCATCCTTGGAGGGGGTGCTGCAGCAAATGAACAGGGAATCGACAAAGTGGACAACGGAAATTCACCCCTACAAGTGAGTTGTCCAAAGAAATAACTCTTATATAAAAATGGGTGTGTGTAAGACATTTCCAAAAGATATTTGAAATGAGTTTCATTTTGTATTCCAAGACCAGTTGTATTCGATAGATCTGCCTGGAAACTAGCCAAAATGCTGAATTTCAATTCGGTTTTCTCAGAACTAGATTGTTGTATATGGAGTGGACATTTTTTCATCCTTCGTCACCACTTCTTTAACAAAATATATCTACTTTCAGTGAGAGTTTGGTATAGAAATGCTGTATTCACAGATAGAGATATTTAGGCTTAGTTATTTGTAATCTTGTTCATGTTAGAGTTAAAAATATGGTTTCAACTCATTCTCAAAATGGTGTGACTTGAATATCAAGGTGACTATATCCTAGTAAATTGATTTGGTCTTATGCAGACCAATTCTCTACGTAACTTCAGAATAGAAAGATCTCTTTTGGGAATATACATTTCTACTCATATTTTACTTAAACTTCTACAAGTTGAAAAATACTGAACATTAAAAAACCATTTTTAAGATTCATCAAATTGATTAAATCATGACTTTATTCTGTACTTACTTTCGGCTTTCTTTCGAATAAAACTGTTTTATCTGTGGATGTATACGATTTCTATATATGTTTTTCTGTACATTACGCTAGAGCTTTTGCTTTTAGTCTCTGTAAATATTAAGAGAAACGCACTAGTAGTAGCTTACATTGCACAGGGTATTCTGGCTGCTGTACTGTCTGCCGTTGTTGGAGGAAGAGATCCTGGACAAGTTAACATGATGGCTAAGCAGGCTGGGGAGGTATGTTCATTACCGACCATTCCAGTCTCAAATGCTCGGTGAAATTGTAGTTACTACGCATTAACTTCGTTTTGGTAGTGCGTGCTAATTACGACAACAAAGCAACTGATTGTTTGACCGATAAAAATCCGGTGAGTGTGCAAGCACCCGCTACCAATAAAATATCGGCCGATTTTATACTGGCCGTCCAAAATCGGTGTGTGTGCAACTAGCGTTACGCTGGCTGCTAGATTAAACTACAATCGGCTGGCGGAACTCATTGTTTCAGGTATATCGCTAGTGTAGGAGTGGTCAGTTAAGTTTTAACGCCTGTGCTGTGCGTACATATACAGTATTTTGAAGTTTAAAATTTTCTAAGTGTCAAGTACTGATACCTCTGAAATTGCTAATTTGTGTTCCTATGCTCCACCTAAAAGAAGACCAAAAAACTGTATCTTAAAAATGTAATTATGAACATTTACAAAAATCAAATTGAAGCAAATCCTTTTTTATCTGTTGATTAAATCGTGAGAAAAGTAGGAAACATTTCTGGAGTGTTTTCTTCAAGTGTCTTGGACTTATGAGAGAATATAAACAAAAACATTCTTTTTCGGCTCTAAAACCATATCCCTCACGAAAAAAAATTATTGATGAGGTAGGCGATTTTGATTAAAACTCTATGAGAAGGAAAGTACAGTTCTAAAAGTTGTAAACGATAATCCTGGTCTACCTCATTTCAAAAGGTCGACATTCCACAAATTATTAAAAAAAACTTAGTTTCAAATTTGAAAAAAGAGGAAGAAATAGTACTCAGGAGTAGTATATAGAGAGGCAATAGAACTTAATAACACTGGGATAATTTCAATAGAAAAGAAGAGGCAATGAAATCTGGTATGCAAACGATGTCAAGTAATTCCATTAAGATAAACAAAGACACGACCGTTACGAAACGTTGGGCATAAAAACCTGCTGACCACTGCCAAAATGTATCCGGAAAATAGCTTTCACACAGCATCGACGTTCATATAGAATTGGATTTAGATTCGACCATCCCTTTATTTCAAATTTGACCCTGTACCAGGGATGGGTGCCACTCCTTCTCGGGGGTGTTAAATTAAAAAAAAGGGCCGGAAATGGATAACTTGGCTCATTCTAAGCAACTTCTGTTCTATATAATTTTTTGTGACTCTTCGACTTATTTGCGAGTGTCAATTTTTCAACCCATAAACTCAAGTTTTCAAACGGTTTTTCGCAAATAACTCAAGTATTTTATCGAAAAAATCAATTTTATCAAAAATGTAGCTTATAAAAAAGCAAAATGAATGGTGTAGGTACTTATGGTGACTGTCGACCCAATTCAAACGGAGTAATAGCTTGTTAAATGTAAGTTCTTATTCGTGAAATAACAAAACTAAAAGTTTCAACGCGGAGTAATCAAAAATCAGTTTCGACAGGAACTTATAAAACCTTGGAAGTTTATAGAAGATTCATATAAGGACTGCGAGCTGACCAAATTTGAGGTCCTGCACGTCTAATCCAGCGATTAGGGTAGGTGATGTCGAGATGCTGACGAGCAAGAACACTCAAATGAGCAAAACATCAATCTTGGGTGAAACCCCCAAGGCAGTAGAGCTTGGAGTGGTATGGGTGTAGAAGGTTTGTTGTTAAAACTGTCCGTGAGGTTTTTGGGCTGACTTCCAAGCAAATTTCAACCAAATCGGTGTAAGAAAATTTATATTTCATAAACAGCGTATTTTTCAAACTTCAAAGCCCTGTATCTCAGAAACGAAGCAACTCCGGTCATAAGAACTTTTTTTCTTGAAACGACCTAACAAATCACCCTCTGAAATTTCCTACCATATAGTTGAGAAACACCCCATATATATTTTTTCTCAACGACCTACTTAAAAGTCTCGATGAAAGGAACCTCTGACGTAGAATAAATGAAAAACAAGTTCTGGTGTGTGTTGCAGTTCTGGTGTTCTCTAACACCAAAAGACCCCAAATTAATAATAATGTTTTCAATCTAATTCCTTGACATTTTAATTTAATTGGATCATATAATTAGTTCATATAGAGTAGTAGATTGTAAATGCTTAGTTGTGAATAGTGAAGCTTTGGGGGTTACCAGAATGTCCGTTTTTCGTATCAGAGTGATATATTAACTAGGAACATCTTTTTCAGTTCATCAACATTGTGGTAAATCTCCTGGATGCCTTGAAGACGTCATTCTCTCACCGTTCCATGGCCGCAAGAAACATCGGTAAGAAAGACACCGTCAGTGATGCAGCTGTGGCTGGTATCGCCATGATGAAGGGTTACGTTCGATCCCTCTCTGCCGGGGATACCAAATGCATGCAAAGGTACCTCTGCCAAGCTAACAGCGAATGTTCGAAGGATATCGGCCAAAGTTCGCTATACTGTCATCTCGGAAGGTAGGTTGAAATTATTATCGGTAAAAACTTGATTCGGCAGATATCAAATGAAACATTCTGAAAAAACTGTTTCGTCTCTCAGCTTCTCAGTTAAAAGCATTTGTAATGATCGGTCTGTATATATTTTCAGAGGGAAAGATATATAGGAAGTAGATAGATTTATAAAATTGATTGAGAAAATGAAGATAAATAATATCGAAATAAAAAGGAAGGAAGGATTTCAAACGAAACTAGTTCACGACGTGCTATCCTCAATCGTCTTTGGGTATCAGAAACACGCCATTCATCACCCAATAATGATTCTGGATACAAACAATGGATAAAAACACTCTTTTGTGCTATTGTGTTGCGAAACACGTGTCGCGGTTTGTTACCTTTCAAGTGTGAATCTCACATTAAAGTGTGTTTTTTGAATACGGGTTCTTCATCGATGAACATAAATGTGTACAAAGATAGTTTGTGTATATTAAGCCAAATATGCAGGGTGTAACATAAGTACGTTTAAGTATTCAAGTGGTGTATACAAATTGTAGAAGTTTTTCAAAACATGGTTGGTTTTTGTCATAAGTTTAGTTATCTCAAAAACGTTGCCTGTTGAAAGTTCTATAAGCAACGGCCAACCAAAAATTATGTCAAATACAGCGACTGGCTGGTTTAAACATCACAGGAGCCATGAGAACAACACCAACCGCGCAAACTCTTGGAAGGTTCGAAATAGATGAACATTTCAACCTAGCAGACCACTATTATAATATTCATGCAGTCATTCTTCACTGTGGTTCTGACGTTGAATTTGGTCATTATTACGCCTTGGTCAAAGACGAAACGGACTGGTTTAAGTTTGACGATAGTCGTGTCACGAAATGTTCTGGCGATGCATTGAATTTATTGGACAGGTCTAGAGGGTCTGACCCCTCTAGACATGTCCGTTAAGGAGGTTGCGTTAATTGCCATGTTACGATTGCGCACGGCTGGTGTAAACCTAGAAGAAAGAATGGGTCAGTTGAGGCTGAGCCTATGGCGAGAAGCGCTTACTGCGCAACCTCTGCTGCAGGCAACCAATGATGCAAGTGAACCCAGGTGTGTGTTTAATAAACCCTACAAAATACAAATAAAACGGAACACAGAGTCAGATGCTACAAATGCAATACGCATATATACAGACGGCTCAAAAACCAAAGAAGGCTCAGGATGTGGAGTGTACTCCAGATCACTAACCCTAAGGATTAAGTGGGGAATGGGAAAAAATACCAGCGTGGTCCAATCGTCGTGGTATCTCAATCGTCACAAAAGAAATAACTAGGAAAGGAATGTCTGGCAAAAACATAACAATCTAAAAAGGGAAAGAACCAGGAGAAGGTTGGGATTTCCCAACCTTAGGTATCAACTCAAATAAGTAATTTTATGTTTAATATTTTTGAAAATCCATCAATAATATTCAAAAGAAGAATCTATACCTACTCAAATGAACACCTTACCTATTTTAAGTACTTATTTTTAAGGTACAATTAATATTTTTTCTTCAATAAGGGTTTTTATGTTGATTATCCATAAGTAAAAATGTCGAAGAGTACATGACGTTGTGATCTAAAGATAAAAACATAAAGACTGATTATAATAACGTTTTTTTTATTTTTCCCTCCAAACTAGTGTCCGACCGAAACTGGTTTTTGCAACCAAAACCGAAAACGAATTTCGGCAACGGTCTCAGTTTCGGCCGAAACAGAAACTTTTTTGCAAGGGTTATGTTTTGAGAGGAAAATCACAACGTTACGCACTCTTCGACATTTTTACTCAGTGGTAATCAACATAAAAAACCCTTATTCAAGAAAAAATATTAATTGCACCTTGAAAATAGGTGTTCATTTGAGAAGGTGTAGATTCTTCTTATCAATATTATTGATGGGTTTTCAAAAATATTAAACATAAAATTACATATTTGAGTTGATACCTAACTAATATCACAATAGTCACGTGGAAGCGGCAAAATGTCTTCGTCGATTGTATGAAATTCAACACACCGAACATGACCGATCACATCGCGGGAACTCCCGAATGCAGTTTCGGTTTCGGTCGTAGTTTCGGCAGGTTTGGCACCGAAACCGGTTTTTTTGCCGAAACTCGACCGAAACCGAACCTTCGGTCGGACACTACTCAAAACATAATCCTTGTAAGGAAATTTCGGTTTCGGCCGAAACTGAGATCGTTACCGAAATTCGTTTCCTGTTTCGGTCGCAAAAACCAGTTTCGGTCGGACATTATAATCCTCGTTGAAATGCATCAAAGTTTTATCCTCAGCAAATAATAGTAATTTTCCAGAAAGCAGTAATTCCGAAATAGAATAAAATATAAAAGAGACCCTGTATGTGGAACCACGCGTATGTACCTAATATCATTTATTTTTGATATTTTCAATTTCAACTTATCCAAATATATCAGTCCAATTTTTTAATATGTTATTCGTTTATCTTCTTTGAGGTTTCAAATCTGCTTTTTTTCGAAAAATGGAAGTCTAGACGTTATCAACAAATTAATAAATCAAATCCCACTAACTTCAATTCAACACTGTAACACAATCCTTGAAGAAATTGTAACTCCACCTCCCCGGTAAAAATAGCATCCTTCTCGATCTAATGAAGAATACAAGACGGTCACTAAACATCTTTTACTGGAAAGCTATCACAAATAAATGAATCTAACATGAATCTAATCTTATGACGAATAGAAAGTTTCACCCAAATCCCTGAGCTAGGAATATGTATTTTTCCTGTTCCGTTTGATTTGAATAAACTCCAGATAATGATCTCACCCATTTTTATTTCAGTTATGCTGTAAGCTTCATTTTGGACAGATCAGCAGGAAGTTCTTCTTCGTTCGACGTTTTATACGAGGCCGGCAAGAGAGGGCGGTATGGAGACAACTGTCAAGAGAAATATTTAGAATGTAACGAAGTCTAACTGAAAAAATCCCAATCCAAACTATTCTTCACCTATTTTCATATCAGGATCATTTAGTTTCTTTCTTCAAGTGACAATTTGAAGAATTTAAACCCAAAAGCAGCCTTTCGATTTATCGATTTCACCGGAGGCACTTTACCAAAAACGAGATGCCTCGGTGAAGAAAAAATTAATTATTTATGAAAATATTTCTTGACCAAAAACTGTGGATTTCCACTACGACAATGTTTTGTCAGAACGTTATTATTGCTAGGTGAACTAGATTTTACCAACCATATCAAAATTTGTATCCTCAGATTTGTGATACAATATTAGGTTATGTAATGATCGATTTACCACAGAACAAACAATTCAATGATGACTCGAGCCCTTATAACAGTGCATTTAACCAAAATTTTATTTATTTTTTTTCTCATACTATCTCAGCTTTTCTGCACGAATGGTTCATAGTTTACGTAGCAATAAACCATGTAACATATTACCTATTTATTTTCCGCACCATAGATTTACTTTATTTTTTCGGTAAGGAATAGACAATACGACTGCGGAAGTGGTTGACGCCACTCCAATTATTTATAATTGTATGCGAGGGTGTCTGGCAGGAATCGAATGAATTTGTGAATGTGAGTGACTTTTGAGTAACTTAGTGTTATTTCGTTGTTAGAATTAACTAGTTATTTATTTTCGCCGTTTTTCATTTTTTGTTTGTATACATTTTAATGCAAATATACGTTAAAATATATTATTTATAATAAAAAAATATAACTTTTTGTATTGGAAAATTAGTTTCACAGGCCCATCATGAAAAATGAAGCCCCCGAGAACGAGAGAGGCACCTCCACCACGTGTCGCAACTCAGTACTCGCTTGGCTATTTACGAGAGGATTTTTATTTGCTGTTTCACCAAGACCTAACCTATGTCCAGTTGGAAGAATGGAAAATTTACAGTGACTTACACAAATTTTCTTGTTCTAATCTGAAAAATGGATCAGAAGTGGCTTGTAATCAATGGTATAAATGAAATATCAATTTAATATTGAACAAAATGTTTAATTACTTGCACTGAGCTCATCAGAAACTAGATACCTTGCTTGGAGAACACAGTAAGTGCTTTATAACAATAAAGTTTTAATTTATTCCCAAGTTCTTTCAGGAATTCCCCAGGGATCAATCATTGGGCCGCTCCTTTTCGTGATGTATACATCACGATTTCCTACTGTTCAGTCCACACATATGCTATTAATATTCAAATACTCAAGTCTCTCACGCAGCTATCTGATCATTATTATTTGAAAATGAATCCAACTAAGTTGCCAATCAGAATTGAAAATTCTGATTGGCAATGAGTATGTACCTACCTATAGAGAATAGCCCAAAAATCTGGAACTCATTATCGACAACACCTTTAGAGATTCCTCCCACGTGTCCTTGATTCTGAAAAGAGCCTATAATGGCCTGAGATGGATATACTCAAATGAAAATATTCTGGAGAAGCGATTAAAACAACTTCATGTCAGTTTATAGTGTTATCTCACGCAAACTATGTTGATGTGGTTTTTGGTTCTTCCTAGATTACTTCAAAGATTATGCCGATTATTATCAAGTTGGATGTAAATTCACAAGAATGGCAACAATTAGGTTGGGTTCCAATCGAGGTATTTCAGGACCGAAATATTGAGAATTTAATTTCATAAAGATTTCAGTAGTTCAATAGCGGACAATAAAGAACTTCAGATATATTTTCTCAAATTTATTAACCAAATGCTGTCACTGATACCAGAAAATATCAAGGAAAATTGTTTCCAGGTAAAAATAAACATCTTATAATTAATAACAGAAATAGCAAACATCCTGAAAAAATGATAGGACCAAATCAGATGTTTGGATACTTATTTTACGAACGAACACATCCACTTAGTAGTTTTTGGTTGGTTCTCGTTGATCACCTTTGAAACTCGACGTTCCGTTAATCCTCGTGAATGTTGAATAATTTCGCGACTTCGTTAAGATCCTCGTACTTTCTCTGGTCCTTCAACACTTGTCTGGCAACTGACATCCTGTTGAAAACGTTCCACAACACCACTCCAACTACAATATCGTTTCTCAGATAGAATATTACGCCCTTTCCAAAATCTTCTCCTTCTGCTGTGTTTGGAGCACTGCTGTGTTTTCGCGTCTCAGCTATTTCAGCCTTTTGTTCATCCGAGAGGTATTTGTCACACTCAGGAGGTACCTAATCGAAATGAAAATCGTGTTATAGCTTTGAATTCATTAGGCCCAGCAATGCAACTTTAGTTTGTCAACAAATTTTCAGAAATTTCATTCATATCCTGATAAGAATAAGGACGAGACGACTTCATAGAAGTCATCTATGAGGAAGACGAATAACTAAAACTCTGTTTATTCAGAAGATATTTGTCAATCCTCTAGGTCTAGGTGATATATTTGTAAAGAAAATCGACATGCTGGTAAAATAAATGTTCATAATTATAAGTATACTATATTGAAATAAAACAAAGGAGAATTTATATTGATTCATAATCATTCAAACAGCAATTGTAAGTTCTTCAATTTTTTTAAGGACAAACCACAAGCACTAAAGAAAAATCCTTGAAAAGAACAAAACCCGGGCTAGTACCAAGCGTTTCGTCTGCTACTAACATCATCAGTCATTACGAATTGTTTGTTACTAACACTTTGAGGTATAACTTTTATCCTCGCAGTGAACACACATACTAATGATGATGTCTATTGCAAATTTCATGTTCACAAAGCACGTAATCATAGTCGAACATAAAAAAAGGTTTGTTTGAAGGTGATTGACAATGTTTCATGATGAATTTCACTAGTTCGGACTTCCATGTTCTACTATATAAAATGATTTGAAATCCCTGAAACAAATGAAAAAGAAGAATCAAAAATGAATAGCTGAAAATAACAATTATATTAAGCAAAATAAACCTGAAATGAAATAATAGTGAAATAAAATACAAGTAAAAATGAAACAATTGAATAAATAAAAATAAAGAAATGAAAAAAGACAATAAAAATAAAAAATGGAGAGATTCCAAGTCACGATAGTTAGACTGAGTCATCACCTGAAGACGATTGTAGATACTAACAATCGAAACGTCGTGAACTAACGTGACTTGGAATCTCTCCATTTTTCATTTTTATTTTCTTTTTTCATTTCTTAATTTTCATTTATTCAATTGTTCTATTTCTACTTGTATTTTATTTCACTATTATTTCATTTCAGGTTTATTTTGCTTAATATAATTGTAATTTTCAGCTATTCATTTTCAATTCTTCTTTTTTAGTTGTTTCAGGGATTTCAAATCATTTTATATAGTAGACAANTTGTGGATTTTGGTAGTAACGTTTTCTTAATCTCATTTTGTATCTGTAATTTTGTTGGTGTTTCATTTGGTATTTTATGTACTACTGTCAGTAATATAAAGAAACTTGGAGAGTTCATTGCGACCTGTAAATAAGACAAAATTATATATCAACATTTTTCTTATACCATAACAGATAGACGTGAAAATAATCATTATTATTATCACATCTTTTATTTGGCATGTTTTTGTCAAACTCATTAATTAGTATTAGATTACAAAGAGAGGACAATATATTTTCAATTTAATTTTGGATAACCGGAGATAACGTCTTAGTTAATTCCTGTTACTCTCATTCTTTCAAAAACATCATTACACTTTAGTTATATATTTGCTTAACTTTTTCACTCTTGTCTTTAAACTCAACTCAAAAGTCCAATGATCGTTATATCAGAGTGAAGGTACCTAACCTCCAATCTTTGTTTATACACTTGTCAGAATATTTTTTTTATATGTTTTGTTTTTTTTACTTGTTGGGACCGTTCCAGAACTGTTCTGTGACTATAATGTTCTGCGCATTGATTCGGTGTCGATACGGGACGGTTCAATAACAGTTCGAAATATAGAACCAAAACAAACCTATAATCTCGGGTCTGTACCGGAAGTTATACGAAGTCAAAGGTAAAAATAACAGTTTTTCGCGGTTATCTCAGTTTGTATTGCTCCCATGATGTTAACATCTATTTTAAAAATTGTAAAGCATAAAATTTAGGATAAATATTATATGAACCTTTTTTTCATGCGTTCAATCGTAATTTATACGCGCAGCGCGTACTGTAATCCAAGGTCAACCGTGAATATTACCTACTCGCACAAGTTTCTCAACTTCTGAGAGTTGTCGTTCGTATGGGGGCGACAGCTGATTAACGGAAAAACAGATTTTAAACAGATCGAGGGGTGAGGTTATTAGCAATTCAGAAAAACTATATTGAATAAATTTACTTACAAGAACACCTTCAGCCTTGACCTTTTCAGTAGTCCAAAAACTGAGGTATTCTGGCAAAATTTTTCCCATGTTTCCTGGTTCTCTGAATAACTGATATATCTGTTTGCTCTGCTTTTTATCTAGAAAAAAAATCATCAAAACTAAATATGCCCTGCAAAAAACTCACTCAATTTACTAAAGACACTGTTTGGAATATAATCTTTGCAGAGGGATCTGCCATTAATTTTCCAAACTGAAAATCTAGAGGAGAGAATGTTGGGAAACTATTTGGATCTTTTTAGTATGGAGAAATAAAGTTTCCACAAATCATAAATAAAAAAATACA